AACATTTTATATGTATATTTGTATTGTCCCACTAAGACTAAAACTTAGAGCTAAGGCCAAGGGCATTGTATGGATGGTTAGATTGGAACCCTATACCATCTAAATATTGATGACTCAATATGTCACTTTGATTCACCACCACCAAAATTAGTCCTCCTACCATATGATATTATCTTGTAATCTCACATTCTTTTCATATCAATTTTGGTTTTGCCCCACCTAAACAAGGCAAAACAAAAATGACAGCAAAAAATGAGTTTTACTTCTCATCCATGTGTGGGTATTATTATTTTTATTTTTAAACATATGCAAACCTTTAAAAAGAAAAACATTTTTTATTGAAATAAATACAAGATATTGTTAGTACAATAAGTAACACATGGTTAATGATGCTACAATTGTTGTTTCTTCAATCATATTCTTATATGCAAAATATTTCTTCATTCTACTTTGATTTTCATGAAACGGTGTGTTTGATAATGGTATACATGAATGTCTAACATTTCATTGTTATGAACAAGTATTGATTTAATTTATGTAAGTAAATTTTTTTGTTGAAACAGAGAGAATTTTAGTGTCTACATTTACTCTATTAAGTATTAAATTATATAATTAAAATCTTCAAAACAATATTGATTGAATTTTTTTTCTAAATATTATAGCTTTGATATATTCTAAAAAATTACTTAGATATATAAATGATTGAAAAAATACACATAATTTCATATTACAAGTTGGATATGCTAGATAAATAACTAACAATGGAAAATTTTAAAAATATTTTAGAAGAAAGAATCGGTATCTAAATGAAAATACTTCACTGGATTTTTTTTATGACATTCTGAAAATAGTACTCTTAAAATTAAGAATTACAAAGCAGTAGAAGACTATAAAACAATGCTCTTCTATGTATTATATATTATAATTTAATAAAAAATACATATATATATATATATATATACAAAAGTAGTGTATTCAACAATATTAAAGTATACATTATTCAAACAATTCAATTATACATATTACTACAAAACTTTTTATTGAGATTATTTATAATCATTGATTGTACAAGTGTATTATTCTTATTTATAACAAATAATTAATATATAGATTGATATCCATAACTTGGTATATAAATATTATTTTGAAATATAAAAATTTGTAACGAAATTGCATACAAATATATATATATATATATATATATATATGATATACTCAATAGACTTCATATTTTTCATATATATAAAAAGTATGAAGTCTATTGACTACACCAAAAATTCTAAAATTATTATTTTGGTTGTAAATATAACTAAGTTTGCAATGTTATCTAACATGTGTATATATTCAAAACATCATCGGGATCGTCTTCAATTATATATATATATATATATATATATATATGGTAAGTTAGCTAGAAAACTTTTATTTTACTTACATCATTAAATTTTACTTGCAAATAAGTTCCTTTAATGTCATTTTTGTAACAATGGATTGTCCATAAATGATGACATATGGTTTTTTGCTGAAAAATCTTTACAAGTTAAAAAAAAATGAAAAGATAAAAGTGACATTTATAGATACAGATGAATTAATTATTAAAAACTAAAAAACAATGTTCATTTTAATTTTTTATTAATCTTACATTTAATGAAATATTTGTTTTTAAAATATTTTTCAATAGAACAAGAATTTTATTAACAAATATTAAATCATTTTAAAAATATTTTTAGGATGTTTTTGTAAGTATTTGAATAATTTTTTAACATCATATATATCTATATGTCAATGAAGAAACATAATATATGGTTTTATCTAACAATAGAATTACTATTTTTATATATATATATATATATATATATATATATATGTTTTATATATTAATAAAATTATTCAAGTATTTTTAAAGATATTGCATTTGGTCTGTTTTTAGCTTTTTAAGAGTGTAAATATTTTTCTAGCTTTGTCTATGATAATTTTTTTGTATATTTCATTTATCTTAAATATTTTTATTTACGTGTAGTACTAATATTTAACAAGGATTTCTTTGAATTGAATAAAATGTGACATTTGAATATATGTGTTGTATAAAATTGTAATATTTATAATGTAGTGGTTTTATTGTAAAAAGACAATGAAAAAAAAAAAAAAAAGAAAAAAAGAAAAAAAAAAAGAGCTTAGTTTATCTTTCATGAATTAAAAGACAAGGTGACTTTATTTGTTATTTTGGAGGTTTTAAAGTATACACCGTGTACTGCTAAAAACATTATGGTAATCCTTGAAGTAATCATAGAGTTTAATTAATTTAAACAATTTCCTACAGAATTAAGTTTTGAGTACATTCTTCTAAGCATAATGATTTATATATAATGTATCTACATTTTTAATTTTACAATTTTTTTGGTATTTAAAGTCTTTTAAAGTATTATAGTTTATGACATGAGATATATGTTTTTATAAAAACATACATTAAAAAGTCAAATGTAGAGGCCATTGAAGACTACACACTTTATAAGATATATATTAAATGTAAAATTAAAGCATTTTTTTTTTTAAATTACCTTAATCTTTACATCTTAATGAATGAAATATTCGTAACTATCTATATCCATTCAAATAATAAAACAATCCTTAAATACATATAATTCTAAAGTAATTTAAAATGAAATACATTTAAATTGATATTTATTTCTAATGCAATTTTATTGTAGATTATTATTTGGAATTAACAATCTTAAAAATAAAATGACTTGAGATGCATTTACCAATGTAATTCAAAGAAAAAATATAAAAAATATATAAATATATATATTTGTATATATACATATACTTGTAAAATTTAAAAGTAATAATTTTTTGCTTTACAAAAAAAAAGATGCAAAAGTATGTTTAAAAGACTATATCTAATCAGTGTGCTTTTTGAATCACACATTTTAGATTTTTTATTCAAAATGTAAGCACACGAGAATTCCAAATAAAACAAGTTAGTTAAATCTGATTACATAGCAAAACAGTTTGCAAGACTTGTATGACATTTATAAAGAAAACAACAAACAATCATAAACACCAAACACTCTCACGTTTCTTCGTTACAATTTCGAACGTCTTGAAAGTATTTGCTGTTAAGTGAAGGATTTGTGTCAAAACTTGCAGGCTACCAAAGTAACACACATAGTGGGCAAAAACTAAATAACTCTTATATCTGTATGAATCTTTTTACTCACAAAATCATTCACCTTTATAAACTCATAGGATGTGCATGAGCCAGAAGAAATTTCAAGTGCATGGAACGGACACAGGCACCCATGCACGCCCCCTCGCAGACACACACACACTGAGAGATGCCCACAATGGAAACCTGTTTCCTCATCACCCAACGCCGCAGAGGTTAGTGCCATTCCATGGCGACAACTGACAAATGGACCCCACAAAACGAAAAAGAATAATAATAAAAAAAAAACAGAGAAAAAAAGTGGAAGCATCAGGGCTGTGGCTTTCCATGTTGGGGATGGGCAAAATAGCATCTAGATGCTACTGCTACTACTACTGGTGCTGTTGCTACTGCACCACCTCTGTCACCATTGCGTCGCAGCGGCAGCAATAACAGCAGCAGCATCAGGAGGATGAAGATGCTGTTGCAGTGAAGTGCAGTGAAGTGAAGTGCAGTGCAGAGCAGTGCAGATGAGATGGAGGTGGAGGCGGAGGCGGAGGCGGAGGAGTGTGAGTTTTGTCACTGGGGTCCATAACTTGAACGGTAACGCAGCCTAGCTGTGAGCTGCACTGCCCCCCCCCCCCCCCCCCCCAACAGCTAGGGCGTGGAAAGTATGCTACATCAATCAAGGATAAGCATGACACCAATTAATCCTCGTTTTCATGTATCCCCACATGAGGAACTCGCAATTTCGCAGATAAAAGGAAACTGAAACGGAAATCTGAGAGAGAGGGAATTGGACATGATTGTGTGCCGTTGCTCCGACACTCCCTGGCAGAGAGAATTCATTTGGCATATCCGATGGGAAGAGTGTTCACATTCGACGCAGTAAGAAAGGTGGGGACTTGTGCAAGGAATGGCTTTTATCTGGAATTGAGCAGAATTTACTGCGGATTGTGTGGTTGTGTTGACAGCTGTGAAGGGAGGAGAGTGATCGGAAGCTGCAGTAAGAAAAAAAAAAAAATTGCAAAGAGTCAACTTTGCTTTATTTAGGAATAAAGACGCTACCACGAAGTGATTTCGTGTCGGGCTCTGTCGCAGAAAACTCGTGACCACTAAACCCTTGTTGGTTAGTTTGTTCAGTGCACGCATTGTAGCACCACGAGCATGTGACCTCGCTGGATTCCTCCCTCCCCCCCTCTCGCATGGGCACTTTTTACATTGGAGGGGTGGGGGCGAATCTCTCAAGGTGTGGTCGGAGGGAGTTTTAGTCCGGACTAAGACAGTGTGCATGAGGTTTGTGTGTTGGAGGAAGAAGAGAAGCCAAGAGAAGAGAAGTGATTCGAAGCAGAGGAGCCAAACCCACATGCAGGTTGGGGCAGATGGCAGAGATCCGTGGCTATGGAGGAGAAGGGCAGCTGTGGTGTTTTGTTTGGTTTCGCTTGGAATGGCATATGTGGTTCCATTCTCTCCCAGCTCTGAGAAGCTCTGAGGAGGTCTGAGGGGGAAGGTGTGTCTGGAGGTGCGCTGGGTTTGCACGTGTGGAGCGCAGTGTTGAGTGTCAGGAAGCTTGGCAAGCAGGGGTCAGTACTGCCTCTCGCTCTCTCTCTCTCTCTCTCTCTCTCTCACCCCATGCCCTTTCATCTGCGTCTTCTTCCCCAGCTTCGACGACGCGTGCTGTGGCTGCGCTTCCCCAAGGGCTGAGGCGTTCTGTGCGATGTTTTGGGGATAACTCTGCCCTGGGGACAGGAAAGGCTGCAGCCGCTTCAGAGTTCAAGCGATCTCCTACTGGATGGGGATGGGGCGCGTAGGGACGAAGCAAGACAGCGCCCATGGACAAACTGGGTAGTTTTTTTTTTTTTTTTTTTTTTTTTTTGCTCCGTGTACTCGTCCATTTTTATTTTTATTTTCAAAAAATTTGTGCAGGTTGACGCATTGTCGGTGTTACGAACCTCCCTTAGCAGTGACTTGGTAACATTGCAAGTGCTGGACATAGCCAGGTTCAGAGACAACGCAGTGCAAGAGAGAGAGAGAGAGAGAGAGAGAGAGAGCGAGAGAACATGGGAGAAGAAGCTGAGATTCTTTCTGTTATGAAATGGTTGGATTTGCCAAGGATACGTCAATAGGTCACGAAATAGGTCAAGGGGGTATTCAACTTTCAGAGAAGAAAAAGGAAGAGCGACAAAGACACTTCAAGTGTCTTGCTCGTGGTTGGCCAGTGGAATTTTAGAGCAAGAGTAACACGTTTGCCCTTTCAGAGACGTAATCTTGCGAGCTTCTTGTACTTTGCGTTGGGAGTTCTAAGGAAAAATGAATGAGGGATGCAGGAGAAGAGTGCATTGCGGATGAATTGTCGAATCTCCGATTGCAGGTTCAACAAGAGGAAAATCGACCGACCGCGGTTAGTTGCTTGATGTGTCCTTTCCAGGAGTGCTTAGTAGTTCTTCCAGTTCATGGATTTCCTTAACTGTTTCTTATGAGGCATTTAGATCACATCCTTGTTCATGGAACATGCTCTCACTTGCCAGTTGATCATGTTTGAATGAGCAGCGATTGACTTGAGAAAAGAAGTGTTGGAGGTGAGATAATTCGGGCGAGTAACGCGCTGGCGGGGGTAGGGGTATAGGATGGGGTGCTCATGGTCCAAGCCCCGTGAGGCCCCTTCTCCAATCGCTGCAGCAATTCCACAAGCAGAACTTGTGAATTCGGGTATGTGAACATCACACTGGTATCGAAAAGTCTCTACGACGTGAGTTTCATTTTTTGAAATCACTCTTCGGTTCTAGTTACTGGAAGGATTACAATTTGGATTCTTGGTAGTGTCTTGTATTTCTTGTTATCTTTGTTAGTCTGTATAAGATTGTACCAGAGAATGTAGTCTTTGCATTTTTGCAACAAGGAGATAACTGACGTCCTCATTGCTATGTAGCTGCTGAGAATGGGCGACGGGTTGAACCGGAGGCTGTTCCACCATTTAGGGAGTATGCTTTAGAGTCGCTGAGAGAGGCCACGAATTCCTTTAGCAGTGAACAGATAGTTTCAGAGAGTGGAGAGAAAGCGCCCAATTTTGTGTACAGAGGGAGTTTGCACCAGAATCGTTGGATAGCCATCAAGCGCTTCCCCAAGGCAGCCTGGCCCGATGCCAAGGGCTTCGCGGTACAGTCTTCCTCTTCCAGTGCTTAGTCCTAGTGAACAACCACCATCCGTTTTGCTCTTGAAGACGATTTTCGCTCAGTTCGACCAATCTAGCAAGATTACTGGTTCGAGATAAGTGTCATGTGAGTATGACACACAATGCAAGTTGAATGCTTGAATTTGACTGGGTTTGCTTGCAGGATGAAGCCTGGAAGGTGGGTCAAGTCAGACATAAGAGATTGGTGAATTTGATCGGCTACTGCTGTGAGGGTGATGAGCGATTACTTGTTGCGGAATACATGCCCAATGACACTCTTTCTAGACATTTATTTCACTGTAGGTGCTCTTTCTTGTAGTGCGTCCGTTTTTTTTCTTTTTTCTTTTCACTTAAGTTGCATATCACAGATCCTTCATAGAAGACGGAGCATTATCCCAATCTTTACGGTTGAGTTGAAGAGCGCAATTTTATCGTTTCGGCTTTCCGTAAAGATGGTTAAGGTTTGTTGATTTTTGAAAATGCACAGGGGAAAGGCAGCCAATGCCATGGACAATGAGGTTGCGAGTTGCTTTGTACATTGCCCATGCCTTAGATCACTGCGCCAACCACAATCTTCGTCTGTATCACGATCTCAACGCCTATCGTGTCCTATTCGATCAGGTATTGCTCTTCTCTGTAGCAGTTTTGAACTAAAACTTGGTATGTCCCTTCCCGTTCCTATCAAGTCTCGACAATCCTGCTATACAGAACACCCACATCAAATACGCTAATCACTTTTTTTTACGGAAAATAAGGTTTTAAAGTAGACCTATCTAATCTGTAGATTATAAATTGATGGTCTCCCACGCCTTTGTCAGGAAGGAGATCCGCGCCTCTCTTGTTTTGGCCTCATGAAGAACAGTCGCGATGGAAAAAGCTATAGTACCAATCTGGCCTACACTCCCCCTGAATACTTAAGAACTGGTACCGAAATCCTGAATGTTTTGTTGGATTGTTTATTGAACAATTTGTTATTGTTACTTTCAATTTGCATCATTCTGACGATTCTTGGTACTTCATTTTGCAGGAAGGGTGACGCCTGAAAGCGTCATTTATAGTTACGGCACTGTTCTACTGGATCTGTTGAGTGGGAAGCACATACCTCCGAGCCATGTAAGTAGTCATTGTAGCAGTCCCTATCCTCGTATTATTTGGTGTGATCTATGTAGAACTGGGAACGTGGTTGTCTTTGAAACACTGTCAAAGGTCTTATGGAGTTTGTGGCCTTGTTGAGTGTAAAATGTTCGATTGTTGTGATGCAGGCCTTAGACTTAATTCGCAGCAAAAACATGTCACAGTTCATGGATTCATATTTAGAAGATCAATTTTCGAATGATGACGGCACGGAGCTGGTTCGACTCGCATCACGATGCTTGCAGTTTGAACCGCGGGAGCGCCCAAATGCAAAGATGCTCGTCAGTGCGCTTACTGTGCTGCAACGAAGAACCGAGGTAAGCCGCCGCAGAGATCTGGGATACGGGCTCTGGGCATTGAAAACTTTGCTGCATTTATTTGCTTTGGAAGTGATGGCACCAATATTGAGCTGTGGGTGTCCGCATCCAATCTGAGTATTGTGGTAAATGAATGCAGCAAATACCCTCCTACACGTTGATGGGGATCCACAGAGGAGAGGCTCCACCTCCTCTGCCATTGTCACCCTTGGGCGAGGCTATTTCTCGCAACGATCACACAGCAGTGCACGAGATTCTTGTGAAAACAGGCTACAAGGACGATGAAGGACAAGAGAACGAGGTTTTTTTTTTTTTTTTGTTAATCTGCTCAACTGTGTCATATAATCAAACCCTTCTTGACGCTGTCCACTTCAATCATAGTTGCTATGGAGGAGCTCTCTAACAAACCAATTGGTTTGCGCATTGCAGCTCTCATTCCAAGTGTGGACGAAACAGATGCAAGACATGCTGAACTCCAGGAAAAGAGGTGACATGGCTTTTCGTGACAAAGACTTCAAAACTGCAATCGATTGTTACACGCAGGTAGCCTTCCACTACAGGACTGTGAAAGTCGTCGACTTCAAGCTTACTGAGGTCCATTTGTTGTGCGTTCTTGCCTTGATGTTCCGTAACTGAACGGGAATTTTGCTTGCAGTTTGTGGATGTACGCACCATGGTTTCTCCAACAGTCTTCGCGCGCCGCAGCTTGGCCTACTTGCTGAGCGACCAAGCCGAAGCAGCCCTGAGTGATGCCATGGAAGCCCAGTCTGTCCACCCCGAATGGCCAACCGCCTTCTATATGCAGGCTGCAGCGCTGTCCAGGCTAGGAATGGAGACGGACGCCAGCGACATGCTGAAAGAAGGAGCCGCTCTCGACATGAAGAAACAAAACCACTACAATCGCTGACTGAAGCTTTGCCCCTGCTTCTTCTCGATTGTAGAATCTTTTTCCCCACCACTAATTCCCAAACTTGTCTGCCCCACCTTCAGAGCTGGGGCTGTGACTTTACCACTCAGATCTCGGAATCATGGACCGCATTTAGGTGTGACTCGCATTGTAGTCTTCGAAACTTGTTACGTTTCAAGAGAAGTAGATTTTCACAGGTACCGTTAACTATGGAACGAAAGACGCCACTCAGGCTGGGGAGTCGAGGTGTAAATTCAACTGGGGTATTGTATTATTGATTCGTGTCTTGCTAACTGCTCGTAAAAACTGAGACTTGTGCAGAACCCATGTGGGTCCCTTGTTCCGTTTCCGATGGTTCTGGAGTGTCGGTAGTAGTGGGAATCTGTCGATGGGTTTTCAACAACTGATTCACAATTCAGACTTGGTCTCTGAGTGCTGTGAATCTGCAGATCTCGTCTCCATGATCCTCTTTCGCTGCAAAACACTCGCAGAGCTCGGAAGCTTGAAGGTCATGGAGACATCATCTGCACAGCTCTGTGCACATCTAATAGATCTTCCTGCACCCTCTAGGACTACTTAAAATCCCAACTCTAAGCTTCTCAAACTTGTTGGAGCCTCGGTTGTATGCCTCGTAGATTTCTTTAATTTGTTAAAATCTCGACGATAAGTTTTGTAGACTCAATAGATTTGTACTTTTTAAAAACCTAAATCCCTCAATTGTAAGCTTCTCAACATCTTAGACTCTGAACTCTTAAAGGTTTCTGAACTTCTAGATCCGCAATTCTTGCATTCTCAATCTACTTCAGACATGCTTTGTATTTTTCAACTTTCTTAACACTTAAAACTCTACCTTTCAGGCTTCTTTGAACATAAGAATTATGCTTCTCAAACTTGTTGAATCCTCACCTCTAAATTCCTTTGACTGGTTCGGACTCTAATTTCACATTTTTCAAGCTTCAATAGGCTTCAATTCTATGTGAATTGAGAATTTGAAAATGATTGGTAATTAGTTTCTAAATGAATAAAACTAATGTCGTAGTCTGTTTGATTGTGTGGGTCTTTTATTTTTTTATTTTTTGGGCATTATCTTGAATCTTATGAAATCTTTCAAAATTTTAAAGAAAATATATATATATATATATATATATATATATATTAGATTATAAGAACTTTCATAAAAATAAACTATACATCTCAAATTAATTGAACTAGGTAATTAGCTAAAAAAATGGATTTATGATTATAAAAGAATTAATTAATCATTTAAAAATTGATTGATTGAATTTTTTCTTAGGGTCATTTTTTATGTATGTTTCATTTTGTTACCATTCAAATCAAGATTATTAAGATTAATTTTGTAAGAATAATTCACATTTGATGTGTTCATATATTTTGATTATAATAATAAAGTGTATCTTATATTTGTAGTTATAACTTTTTTATTAAATTATTATAATAATTTTATTTTTACAGATTTTTATTCATTTATTGTTTTTAGGTTGGTGAGTAGATCATGAGAGATTAGGGATATGGAATTGTTTTGACTTAGTTGCAAACTTGTTGTGTGTGTTATAATAGTGTGTAGATTATGTTTTGCTTATCTTAAGCTTATGTAGATTTCATTGTTGTCTTAAGTAAGCTCTTATTTGAGATTGTATTAGACATGTGACCATAGAAGGAAAATATCTATGACACCACAATTATCTTATAGTTTCAAAATATAATGCTTAAAAGTACACTTTTTTGATAATGTCAACCCACTTAAAAGATTTGAATTCAAATAAATTCTAAATCTTAAATTATATCAAATCTCAAATTCAAAATTTTAACAAACTAAAAATTGTAAATCATAATTAGAATTTTATGTATAAAAAAGGCATCTAATTGGATTCTTAGATTTATTTAAAGTTTTGAAATTAGTATCTTATTTACTAATTCGTTTAATTACCAATATTTGAGACAATTTCAACTTGTAAATCAATAGATCTTGCAATCAAGTCCTTAATAATAATACATAGCCTTCTATTTTAAGTTAAATAAAGACTTTTAGTAATTAAATATTTTATCCCAATTGTTATTACATATTGAAACTTGTTATTAGAATTAATTTCTAGGTATTTGATAAGTACTTTAAATTATAGCTTTATTTAATTGTAGAATTTTTGATATCTAAGAAATTATAATTGATCTTAAATTGCCAAATTTTGGTACCTCTTTGTATATATAGTGATATATCTTTGAATTTTAGCATAAAAATTGTACAAAACTAATGAAGCATATGTATTGCTTTAATATCTATACAATCTAGTCTATGTCATCTTCATTTATTTACAACCTTACTAAGGTAGTAGAAGTCTTTTTAACATAATCTAGAAAACACAAACATTATAGTTAAGCTAAATTTATTAGTTATTAAAAAAATCCTATAAAACATATATATATATATATATATATATTTTGTCTATGAGTCTTAGTTTTTCATCAACTTCCTTTATTTATTTATTTATTTATTTATTTCAAGTAGCCATGTTACAACATAGCAATGTATTGATTAGATTTTTGCACAATATAGGTTATGCAATGCTTAAATTGTAATGCTATTTGAATTATATTAATTATGCAAATACAAGATATTATCAAGTATATTGTTTTTCTCTTTATTTATTTATTATTGCTTCGTATTATAACTTGTTGTAGTTATCATGTGATTCTGGTTGTTGTTATTATTATTGTTATTAATATATTCTAAAAATATTATTTTTTATCTTTAATATTAACAAGATTTTATGTGTATGGCCATAAAGTTGTGATAGTAATGTATTTGTTATGGCAATTGATTATTTCAACAACAACAAGTACTTTGTAATTGTCTATGTTCAATATTCTTGTGGTTGTGATGATTTCTTACAATAGTATGCTATACTAATTAAATTATTTAAACATAAGATGCTTATTTAATATTTTACTAGATCTTCTTTGTATTAATTTTTTATTATCTAATTAATATATTGCTATGTTGTAAGAAAGAAAAGAAAAGAAAAAAAGGCAATGCATTTGTGTATTCTAAGTTTTACACTATATATATATATATATAATGCATTGCTTAAACAAGATTGTTAATTTGAAACTAATAGTAAAACACAATAATTAACTGGTAATAATTTATTAATGCTTAAAGCATCAAAAAAAAAAAAAAACATTGATAATCAAGAATTATTCTATCTTAAAATATTATATGCCAAAGTATTAAAAACAAATACTTATTTAATAGATATACATTTTTTTAAAATTTTTTTCAAACAACAAAGTGAATAAAATATATAAAATAATCTACTTGAAATCAACCAATTTAGAAGTAGAGAAAAATTTATCTATATTTTAATATATAAATTATATTCCAAGTATATTCTAACACAAATTAGGGCTGTGCTAAGTATTGAAAATGCAACAATTGAAACAAATTCAAAAAGTTAAATGCGACAACTGAGACATTTACCTACGCTGTTAACCAACAGAGTGAGCAGATTGGACACATCGCGCATATCGATCTGAGAGTGATAATCCGCAAGCAAGAGAATTTGTATTTACATGGTGAGGGTCTCAACAAATGTGTACATTTGGTACTTTTTACAGCACCATTACCTTAGAATTGCTAAACTCTAGATTAAGAAGGGGAAACTCATTAATGTTCTACGAAAGATGCAAAAGTGGTCAGAGTGAAGACAAACAATCGTCCAGAACATCTTCGATTCTTACGAATCACTGCTGTACAGATTCTACGCAGAACTAGGTGATGATTTATGACTCGCAAGGAACCTTGTCGCAAGTAATGTGCAGCTTTCGGAAGAGTAGTTGCTCACGATCGAGCATCTGACAGTGACAAATTCCACGAAGCTCTCGAGTGGGAACTACAGTGCGCAGTGTTTATGTGTGTCTAGCCATGTCCAAGGCGCGACGCTCCCGCACTGCTGCACGCTTCCTAGCTGCGACGTCCGATGCACGAGCCACCTTCTGGATTCTCCTCTCTGTCAACAGCATGGCAACATCAACTAGTCAGCTCTGGGATGGTTTAGGCCAATAGTAGTCCCTCACAAACAGGAAAAATTTGATCAAGATAGAAGACAGCGCGGTCGGCTCACTCCCTCAATGCACTTCTGCTCCCGAGCGTTACAACTATCTTTGCAAAAGTTAAACTTTGTACCGATAACTGGAGCTTAAGAGTCCAAAATGAGCCACCAAGGAGGCGTTGGCCACATCGACAACAAACAAAATGCTATGACTGCAGTCATAAAGGAGATGGTACCTGTAGCAGCTGCTTTCATCTCCTTGATGGACTCAGTGGCGGCCACTCGCTTCACCGGGTGCGTGGGATGTTGTAATCGGTACACCTTGAGCATGAGGTTGGCACGAAGGTGTGTCATCTTCTCCGACATTTTTGCTCCAGCAACCGAAAAGCTCCGTCCTGCATTGGCCCTCATGTCCGCAAACTTTATCGCAGGGCTGACCTTGTTCTTAACCACAGCGCGTCCCGCTCCATGAGTCTTCTTCCCTTTGGCAATGCCACGGTTTGCTCCCTTCGTTCTCGCCATCCCTAACTTCTCTCACACAACCACGAAGCCTCGAGACGTGGATCGAACACTTGACGACAAGCGACTTAGAGAAGCAAAGATGATGAGACTCACAGAACTCTCAAACTCAGAGGAATCGCAGAGCTGGCTTCGATCGATAACGTGCACAACAAAGAGCTAAGATATGCAATATCGCATTGTGCTATTTGTACTTCGAGAGAAGCATACTATATACATGAGACCCACACTACTTAACAGAGAGGACACTTGGCAGCACAACAGGAGCCGAATAATCGAAGAGGATCTACGGCGCGATTGGGCGATGACGTGTTGGATATTATCTGTCGACGTGGCCATGATTGAAACCCTCAAATGCTAGTGTCTCTATGATGCACGGTCATAGAGACAAGGCTCCCTCCCCAACACGGTCATCCGTCACCGGAAACCTCGGACCGGCTATCCATGTACCTCCGTAACAATAACGTATCTTTTTCATGATATTTCACCAACCATGCAACCAATTCCTGCCACGTACTACCAAGCCACCGACATTTGTCGGTGAATTCAAATCTAAATTACCCCGCCGACTGGGGAATCCTAACCTCAAATCCTCGTACACGTGTCGCACTCCTCTTGGTACGAACTTCGTAAGCGATTTGACGCATATAGTGAGGTGGGGTTGCAGATCTTTAACGACGCCGCCAAATTAATTAAACCGTAGATGATCGTCTTAATTTGAACTTCGAGATTAATTCGCTGCGTTTGCAATCAATGCCGGAGCTGGCATTTATCCAAGCTTTCGATCGAGTGCGCATATACTTAAGCTTGATCTCTCAGATTTGATAGAGTGTCTTGAGATTGTGAGCTCGGGTGGATACTGAGACGACTTTTAGTTTCCTCTGAGTTTGTTATCGATGTCGTTGTTGACATCGTTGCGGATCGGCAGGACGTGATGTAATCAGTAATTGTACTATGATGCGTTGCAGGGGCTTAGGAGGAGTCGAAGGAATGGCGAGAACCAAGACGAGAACTGAGAAGAAACGGAAGCATGCTGCGAGTGGAGTGGCGAAGAAAAAACTTAGCCCTGCCGTGAAGTTTGCGGGCATGGAAGCGGCGGCTGGAATGGAGATGAGTATAGCGAGCGGGAAAATGTCCGAGAAGATGGCGCACTTTCGTGCTTATCTCATGCTCAAGATGTACTACGTGCAGCATCCGACGCACCCTGTGAAGAGAGTGGCTGCCATTGAATGTATCTAAAACATAAAGTCTGGTGCTACAGGAGAGTCATTAGTGCGATGATCGTGCTTCTTTACCTGCAGCTTGTCTCATTTTAATTTATTTTATTGATCTTTCTATCTCCTGAATTCTGGCTTGCTTTGCATTTTCCGAAATGAGGAAAAGTCTTGAATGGTTCTCCTCGTCCTGATGCAGAGAGGAGGCAGAAAGTTTCCAGAGCCAATGATATCGCAGGAAGAAAGCTTGCTGTAGCACGTGAACGCCGAGCTATATCTATGGCTCGTCACACGTAAACAAAAAACTGCTTGATTCAGTTGAAAGACGTGTCAAGTTTCAAAAATTCCTTTCATATGTGACGATTTGTACCTAGCTGAGGGATAACAGAAGGCAAGATCAAAAGTTCTATGTGAGCCAGGCAGGTTTATTTCTGCATCTGTACAGTGAGCCCATGTACTCCTTCATCATGAGGCCAAAATCTGGTCTCCTCTGCATCGTTGCGAAGAACTTGCAAGAATTACTCTCATACGTCGCAACCAAGATTGTAATATATGTTTTGTGGGAGTTAATAACATGAACTGGCAATGTGTCTATTCGGATCCTTTTTTGTCGATATTCTATCTGGAAGGTTTTCAAACTTCAAGACGATTGTGTTTCAAGTAATGAGCTGGCAGTTTTGCCCACTCCGTTTATCATGCACTCACAAACTATATTGTGGCTGAATGTTAATAAATATTTTACTTTATTTTCATTCTGTATTATTTTCATAAAAGTTGGGTCTTTTGTCTCAATGAATTAAATGATTCTTTGTTAATCCAAACTTTATCTTCATTTTTAATTATGTAAAACTTTTAATTATGATTGTAGTTGTATAATACATCTAAACTAATTGTATATAAGTATTTTTTTTTTTTTAATTTAAAACATTCTATTCAAATTTTTGTAAACACTTTATTTCTAGTCTTTATATTTTACTATATTATGAATGATTCTAAACAAATTGAAAATTTTACAGTTCTTCTTAAGAAAATAAATCTAAAAGTATTAACTAAAGTCTTCAAAAGATTAGAATATATGTGATCTTGAGATAGTATTAAGGATATAAATTTCAAAAAACTGAAATATCAATATATTCTTGTATCACTTGAAAAGACTAAAACATCATTCAAAGATGGTATAGTATTAAAGTAGAATAACTATAGTCAAAGATAAGAAGACTAGAAAGTCTTGACATAAGAGTAAGCATTAAAAAACCATTGACAAGAGTGAATAAGGCTTCATTCTTATTTCCATATATACTCTTAATTAGGAGCTATATGGCCATATCCTATAAGTCCTCTAAAACGCATTGACTTTGCAAGACACATATCTTAACTTCTAAAGTAAGTTTTCTACATGTGTGCCACATAGTTAATTTGTTTTGCAAACTATCAACATGTGGTTAATTTTTTAACTAAGTTTCTAATTTATTAATCAACTACAAAGACAATTAAAATTAGAACAAAGTCTATAAAGCTTTTAGCATGCTTTTTAAAAAAATATTATGAAATAAATCTATTTTTATTAACTTTTATTTAATCATATAGATAAATATTAGAATAAATATGTATGTTTGTGATATTATTTGTCCTTCTAAAGATGAGTTCTACAAAGAGTGGTCATCATATATTGAAGAAATCAAAGATGCGACAAATTATATTTGCTACATATTTTGATCTTCGTTCTCTTCAAAGATGGTTGATAGGTCCTTTCAGCCATTGATAGTATCCTATACCACAGTAAAAAGACCACCTTTTCATTTGATCATTATTGAGGCCTTTCTTACTTCCTTCGAATAAAATATTTAGAATACCATCAGGAGTCATTCATACCTATAATAAAATCACCAAATATTAGGAATTTCTTTCAAAATCGTGATATCAAACACATTGTATCTTGCCATCTATTCAAGGAAAGACATGTCATTTTTGAAGATCTTCATCTTGATTATATTGTCTTGAAGGTTGTGACAATTGTAATATCTTGTCCAATAAATCATGAAGTGATAATTCTTGAGTTGAATATGATGATGATTGTTTTTCCATCTTATTAGTACCACATAAGTTACAATAAAGAATAGAAGGTAGAATGTTATTTTTTTTGGATCTTGTTTCTTTTATAATAAAGATTTATTATTCTTTATCTTGGTTTTGATAGGAATTGTCATTGAAAAGCCTCAACTTTCTTTCTTACATTTAGAAGATTTTTTTTTGGCTTCCATATGTATTCTTTAATATCATATTTATACCAATGAACAAGATATTCTAATCTATTTTAATACCACGTTAAATCTAAGACTTCTACTATCTCAAATTCTTAATTATTATCCACTTTTATAAGAAGAAGTAAAATTTTTCTTTTTCTCAAGATATTCATTGTCTTATATGGCTCTAAAAGAGACACATAAAATATGGAATGGATCTTCATAAAATTTGGTAGATGTAATCAATAAGAAATAGGATTATTAATAAAAAAAGGTCGAAGTTTATGATAGTCTAACTTGTCACAAGAATGAATAATCTTAATATTGTAACAAAATAACCATACTTTGTCACGTACATTGAATTGTAGTTATTTTTTGGGATAGGCATATATATTAATCTTTTGTCATTCTTGAGCTTTGTTTAACTATGCCTTTATTATTGCATATAGCTCTAATGAATGATTTGCCAAATCTTTTGTCGTAGAATTATCAACACTTGAAAAGTCAAAAATATCAAGTTATAGATAATAACCATAATTGATAAAAAAAGATGTTTTTTGAGTAAAAAAATATACCAAAATATTGTATGTAAATTTTGTTAATAACAAAATAGTTGTTTAATCATCTTGATGATAATTAATGATATATTTTAAATACTGCTCAAAAACTTGATTAAAGTATTTTTTTTGCTTATCATTTTGTGGATAGAAAGCCAAAGAGAGCTTTATATCTATCTTTAGAATCTTAAAAAATCTCCTCTAAAATCTTGATATAAATTGAATTTTCATATCTAATATAACATCTTTTAATAATTCATGATAGTGATATATGTTGTCAAAAAAAAGCTTGGTCGATTCTTCACTTGTGATAGATTTTATACATAGTAAAAAATGTGACATTTTGATAAAATGATCTACTATCATGAATATAGAATCATACAAACTTAAGTTTGAAAGATCCATGATAAAATCCATAGAAACAAAAGACCATGGTTGTTTTGGAATAGGTAATAGTTGAAGAAGTCTATAAGGTCAATGGCGAGGGATTTTTGATCTTCAATAAATATCACATGATTGTACAAAGTTTTTAATTACCTTTCATATCTGAGGTAACCAAAAATCTTTTAATACTAGGTCCAAAGTCTTATTATATCCTAAATGTTTGATTGTTGAAAAGTCATGACAAGGTTGAAGAATACATAATCATGTCTTGCCTTTTAGAATATATAATTATCCTTCAAAATAGAATAGATTGTTCTTGAACTCAAACTTTGAAGTATCATGAGACTTAGAAGAGGTATTCTTGATATCATGAATAAGAGAATCAAAAGATATACTTAATTGAATTTTCTTGATAAATGTTGAATCAATATTTAATATTGGTTTTATTATTCAAAGGTGAAAATGCTCCAATTTCAAGAGAATTATTTTTTGTTAATCTAAAGATGCATCTTATTTTTGTGATACAACATAAGAATGTCTAAAAAGGACGTTTAACATACCTTGTTGTTTTTTGAGTTAATAAGTGATCTTGAAATCAAATCTTGATAAAAACATGTTCTAATGAGTTTAATGGTGTTGTGATGTAATACAACTATATAATGATACTATAATCAAAATTAAATTTCTAATTAATATCTAATTATCTTAATTCAATAATAATTCAAGGTATCTAAACATGACTTTTATAAAAGCCTCTTAGCTTATTTTTTATCTTAATAGTTAGTAGGTTGAAG